CGGCGGGCACCGGGGCGGGCTGCCCGGTGCTGTGCACGTGCCGCGGGCAGGCGGTGGACTGCAGCGGCCAGCGGCTCTTCTCCGTGCCCCCCGAGCTGCCGCTGGACACCGGCAACCTCAGCCTGGCCCACAACCGCATCGCCAGCATCCCGCCGGGCTACCTGGCCTGCTACGGCCAGCTGCGGGCCCTGGACCTGCGCAACAACTCGCTGGCGGCCCTGCCGGCCGGGCTCTTCCTGGGGGCCCGGCGACTGGCCCACCTCGACCTCAGCTACAACAACTTCAGCCTGGTGGCCGCCGACATGTTCCTGGAGGCCAGCGGGCTGCTGCGGCTGGACCTCAGCCACAACCCCGGCCTGCGCCGCGTCCACCCCCAGGCCTTCCGCGGGCTGGCCCAGCTGCGGGAGCTGGACCTCAGCTACGGGGGGCTGTCGGCCATCAGCCTGGACGCCCTGGAGGGGCTGCCGGGGCTGGTGGGGCTGCGCCTGGGCGGCAACCCCTGGGTCTGCGGCTGCGCCATGGAGCCCTTCCTCAAGTGGCTGCGGGGACGCATCCAGCGCTGCGCCTCGGGTAGGTGCCACCGTGTCCCCCCCGCCAGGCCCCGACCACCCCGGCGTGGGGACGGGGGCCGGCCCTGACGCCGCTCTCCCCACAGATTCACAAACGGCGGAGTGCCGGGCCCCCCCCGAGGTGGCGGGAGCCCCCCTGCTCTCCCTGACGGAGGAGAGCTTCCAGGCCTGCCACCTCACCCTGACGCTGGACGACTATCTCTTCATCGCCTTCGTCGGCTTCGTCGTCTCCATCGCCTCGGTGGCCACCAACTTCCTGCTGGGCATCACCGCCAACTGCTGCCACCGCTGGAGCAAGGCCAGCGAGGACGAGGACGTTTAGGCAGCGCCGCCATCGCCGACATCCCCCCCCCCGCCCCCCGCCCCGGTGGGGACGCCTGACTGTGCCTTGTCCTCGTCCCCTCCCGCCGCCCCCCGAGCCGGGGTGGCCCCTCCAGACACCGCCCCGGCTGCGGCGGGGGAGACCTGGGGATGG